ACATAGAATACTAATGCTTTATACATTATTAAAAGTGTAATTAAAAGAGTTATTATAATCGCTTAAATCATAAACGTTTAAAATACTCCTTAAAATTGCCCCTAATCCTATTAATGTATTTTTAGAAGCCTACTAAAAATATAATTCTTTTTTTCATTTACTACTAGTGATCAAATTTTTATTTATTTTTTTCGAAATTTAATACAGTAGACGCCGCTTCTAAGACTCACTTTGGGACCAGCACAAAGTGAGTCTTATAACCGAATGAGTCTTATAGGCGAAGTGGAAAAAAAAAATAATTACGTATTTATAAATTTTATTTTACTACATATTTTGCTTTGATTTTAATACATTAACACATATTACATATTACATACTTTATTATTGAATAAATTTAATAATCCCGATAAAAAAAACTAAAATTATAATAGGTAAATATTACATATTACGATAACTGTGCAGCTGCCAGATAATCAGTACACTATAATAACAATAATTATCGTTGCGATAAATGTGAACTTTTATCTGCGATAAAAATTATTATACGTTATAAGATACCAACAGAAACTAGAAATAATCAACACGAATATTATTTAATTTTTTAATACCAATTTATTTCTAAATTATAACCAAAAAAGTTTATTTTCTATTATTTATTTTACGAAATTTGAGTCTTATAACCGAAGTGTTGAGTCTTATAACCGATTTTTTTTTAATGTATTTGGATACGTCCGGACCGTTTCAGATGAATTTGAGTCTAATAAGCGACTGAACCTTATATCCGTGAGTCTTATAAGCGGTGTCTACTGTATATACTTATTTATTAACCTTTTTGTTGGATTGTGTAGGAAAAACACTAAACATGTAAAAATGTAATACATTATTAAAAATTAACAAAAATATTAATTGATTTTTTTCTAAGTTTTTATTTTAAAGCTTGTTCAAATAAAAAAAATTTATTTCTTATATAACCTAAAAAAGAGGCTAATAAATTCATATATTCAGTAATTAAGCATTATGATATACGTAAACTAACTTTCTTCTTATTGGTTGAAAACTACAAAAAATACTAAGAGTCTTAAATAATATTACTATATAGAACGCTTTGCATTTATAATTTAGATACGTAGATATGATTTTTTTTTTATTTGTAAATATGCATCAATAGTAAAGTTATTAGCATTTTCTAAGTAATAAGAAATGTAATGTCTTATATCTTATATAAGATATAAGACATTTCAATTTAAGTTTGTAGTTTATTATAGATGTACTAGCTACATAAAATGAATGGTACAGGTATGATAAAATAATGATAGCTTAAATTAAGTAGGTAGTTAAATCAGTTAAATTTAATCTAAAAAAAAATTGTGATTAGAATGATATAGTTTCTGGATTTGATTCAATGTTTATTATATTATAAGAAAATTACATGAATTAAACCTGCATGGATACATGCATTAATTATATTGTTATTATATAATATAAGATATAATTAAATGTTATTTACTATTTTAACACTCGTATTGCTTTGTCTCTTCATATAAATAAAATAACAGAATAAAGATTTTACAAGACTTTTTTTTTCTTTTTTTTTTTTTTTTTTTTTTTTTAGTTTCCTTATTTATATAACCTAAACTGTGGCTAGTATAAAATAAAATATATACCTATTTTAACCATTATGGAACAAAAGATAACAATTTTTATTTTTATTTTCATTAAGTATTTACATTTAAAGAAAACTTTGTAATACTTAGTAGTTAACATACAATGACTCCTTCATTAATTTTCTTTTACTATGCCAATTATTCGGTAATAAGTACATATAACGCATAAATACAGTGCTTAATTAAGCTATTGAGCAATCTAATCATGGTTAATTATTAGTATAACGCTAAGGTGGATAACCACTATATAATAATAATAAAGGGGTGTAATATGTATAGAGTTAGTATGCTTGTTACAATTTACCTTCAATCCCGGTAATATTTGTGTACGCCTTTTCTTCATATCATCACAAAAAAAATGAACTCAACAGTAGAACTATCAACAAAGTGAAAATCTTCGTTGTTAACCACATCAATATAAAAACAAAACTGCCGACTCCGGTTCAAAGCAGATAGACGTCACTAACGCCGGTAAGACATTCACCACCGCCATTGTTAAATGATTGTTTAACAAAAATTGTCAAAAGTATCAATTCAAGTAAGTTATGATTGTACGAGCGGACAGAGAAAATATATTTTGTATTTAATTCTAACTGGTACATCTAGTGCACACACCATGCAACGTGAGTGGCCCGAGCTGAATTGTATTTGCATAATATGTAAAACAGTATAAAAAATACATTAAGACAGACAGAGGAACAAGACGCATACGCACTCGTATATGATGCAAAGGTTAGAAAGGTTGAAAAGAAGAGTAAAAAAAGGTATGTACGTTCGCCTATAATATTATATAGTATTTTATATGTTGTACAATAATAACAATATTATGTATACGGTAGTGTAGCGTCATACCCATTATAATATACTTATAGAAGGTAGTTGATTTTAAGTCAGTTTAGAACGATACGAAAAAAGACTTCGGTATCATCGAAATCCAAAAACCCAAATCCAACCAATTATATATAAACGAAGATTTGCCTAAACAAAAATAAATACAATTTCGATATGAAACAATTTTGAGCCTCGGGTTATATTGCATGATATACTGATGATAATATATTATACGTTTTTACATATTATTATAATATTCAAAAACAGCTCCAATAGCTTAGTTACGCATAAGTGTAATGCACAATAAACGGAATGTTTACATACATATTAATAATATTATTGTACCGATATTAATAATAAAATATTAATAAAATTGAAAATTTATTTACTAGTGAAAAAGGCAATATTACATTCGTGTTATTACCATATACAAATGCACGGTTAAAGGGTTAATATTTATATTGCCACATTAATTTTGAAAAAGTGCTATTTAATTATTCGGTATTCAAGTTATATTTTTTTTTTATTTGCTTATTATTGATATTAACAAAAAAAATCGATTTGTATTTTTGCTGTATTTGTCAATTTAAGTACTTACCAATTTAAATAAAGCCAAATTAATTATTTTCATAATTAAGTGTATTTAAATGGTTTTAAATTCCATGAAATTGGTAGGTGAGTTGATATGTATTCAAATACAACCATGGTGAGACGGCCTGCAGATATGTGTAGCAATATATTTTTTCTCTTTTTTTCTCTTATTTCCCATGACAGATGCACATTATGTACCTATGTACAACAATATGCGTTCATGCCGGTCACACGTACGCTGTAGAACGAAATCAATTCGAATTATGTCTTTCCAGCCCCGTAGTCTGTCTACGCCCGACCGTCGTCGTGTGCAGAAATGTCGATGGGCCGCCTTTGCCGCGTGGATGAAAACGACGAAACGTGCACGCCAAAGCCAGAGCACGATCACGCACACCTGAAGAAGATAAATGATTAAAAGAAATTGTCTATCAAAATGGTCTCGATTTTTACGTATTGCCCTAGCTAGACGCCTGCAGCCGATCCAAGTAGTATACCCCTCGGTCCGTAAAACGACGTCCGACTATTGATTAATAGCTATCTCATCCCTCACTTTACCTCCAACGTATATGTTTTTCTCTTTTAAGCCATCACCTCTATATTCTCAGACTCATTTACTATAGCTTTTATAGTTACTTATCAAATATTTTTTTTTCTTTTTCTATCGGGAATGTTTCATATTCGATTTATATTTCTTTTATCATATCACGTTTTTATATGTAAAGAAGAAAAACACCCTATCGTGTTCAATTGGCAACCGATATTAATATATATTATACTCGTACCATATCCCATGTATGCATTCACTAAAGACACTGCCTAACACAAGTTGGAAAAATCTATAACGATTGGTTTTTGTTTTTATTTACCTATCTATTCTTTTTCTTTTTTAAACGTACAAACTGTGTGTCGTCATATCAGATTTTATTTAGCTTAAATTATTAAACACATTCATTTTTTTTATAAAAGGTATTAAAGAAGTTAAATTTGTTATAATGTCAGATACTAAACAAGTAATATCATAAAGATTTTAATTGATTATTTGAAATATAAGTAAATGCTTACAAATGAAACTACAATATTATAATAATATATAATTAACGGTTAACTACGATGATTAAAATGATTAAACATAACGAAAAAAAAAAATTCAAGACAAAAACCAAGATGATGTTTTAAATGATTTATTTTGACAATTTTATTTTTTTGTATTCCTCTTAAAGAATACACGTTTTTATTTTTATTTTTTTTTTTTTTTTGCACTGAAAATTTAGTAAAATCGAGTCATGAAGAATTGAATAGATTAAGATTTAAGAAAATTAAAAAATGTATATGTGTTTTGTACAAAACTACGTATTTTAAAATGTTTAACTTTAATATATATATTTTTTTTTCGTTGAGTTTTCATACTCAAAATTAATCAAATCGCGATAAGCTTACCGTAAACCAAAAATATATATCATTTAAGGTACACGGCCGCTTGTGAATTTATACATAAATATATTTAGTGATGCCTATATGCTGTATGTGTGCACGGACGACTATGTGTGTGTAATGTACCTGTATTTTTTTGTCTCATTGAGATCAGCAGTTCTGTGACTGTAACAAATTGAATTTAGTCGGTTTTAAAGAGCACACAATGAACGGGGGAAGGAAACCACAAAAAGAAGTTCTCTCTACTTTTTTTTCTATCATCTTCGTTTATTTTCTTGTCTTGTTTGTGCATAATACGTATTGAACATGCCGCCACACCATGTCGCTAAACGAATATAATATACTCTATGAAAAACACTGGAATTAAAAAAAAAGGAAGCTGTGTGCGCGTAATATAAACGATTAATCGACAGTTGAAGGTCAAATGAGGATATAAATATAAGTGCATGTGTACCCGAGTTTATATAAAATCCCATTGTGCCTACAAAATTTAAATACACCGAGTTAAAACGCCAATCGACGTCGTCTTCGATTCGTACCAGCACATATTTTAACTACAAAAATAGTTATTGATAATCAACCCATAGTGCTGCACGCTGAATAAAAAAACACGCCAGTAGAAAATATTATGAACCGTTTGCTACTAACCGCGGTAAGTCATCGATAATATATCATACTAAATATAATATTTTATTATATACTTGTGTATATCTATGTTTAAGACTATAGTTAATAAATACATTGGAGCGTACATGATGTTTATAAATGATGAAATAATATTTGTTGTTATGATAGTGACTACCGAACGCAATTTAATATTAGAGTAAAAATTATAAATTGAATAAAACGTTGTGAAAATCAGTGTGGTTTACTTAGTATAATAAGAACTATTTATTTAATATAGTTATAAAAATATAAGATATCGAATACTAAGCTATTTGCTGCTTACATTAGATCTTTATTTGAACTTGTAACCAAATGGTGCTGTTATAATCTTATGGACAAGAATTGTCTCATATATATTTTTTGGTTGAATACTATCTTAAATCCGCGAAATTCACATCAATTCGAAGACAAACAATGTTAGTGCTGTCACGAGTGAAAAATATCACGGCTTATCCTTGTAAGATCTATATCCCGTTCCTCGACTGCGTAAATAATAATAAAACATTTAATAACAAAATTCGTGATATAATACAGGGTAATCCGAATGACCAATAAAAATAAAAAAATAAATACATCAACGGAACAAAAACGCAAACTTTTCATTCACGTTGTTGTTATTGCGATTTTCAATCTCTAGCTGCATAAGAATTTTGAGACGTCAAACTCCGTCGAGCTTTCAGGTCGAATTATTCGCAAAAACAGATGACGTAAATGACATAAATGTATACACGTATAATAATAATAACAACATCAATAACAATAATAATAATATCGTTACATCATGACGGGCGTAATTTGTAAGAGTTATATACGCATCCTGTGGTAGATTGCCGAGAGGTTAGATTTATCGTACTCGGTCACTCCGTATGAGAAATTGACGTTGGACTTCTTTCTTTCCCGTTTCACTGCACTTGTACCGGTTCATCACATAATATGAATTACACAGTTTCGTGCCAACCCTAAAACGTGATTGATAAATAAATAGCACACTTGACGAATTTTTTGCGATTAATTTTCCTCCCCATAATTCATGTTTTAACGCTTCTTAAAAAAAAAAAAAATAAAAATAAAAACACTTATTGTTTTGACGTGACTGGTTTAATATAACTAAGGAATATACTGAATGGCCAGAGAACGTGCTTCATTTAGCCATTATCGTAATAGTACAATACTAGTATTTAGTAGGTAGTGTTATAGTTTTTAAAAGTATATTCATTCATATAATATAATTTATTAATAATTAAAGCTAACTTTTTTTAAGTAAATTAATAATATATATTTATACAATTGTAATTATACATTTAAGTCTAGAGATAAAAAAATATATTTTTAAGTCATGTAAATCAGTTGGATGCTAATATAATAGCTGTTATAATTTTATTATTTTTTACTATGAATTTACCTGTATAAATCACAAATTTCTCACAATAGGTACAATAAGTATTACTTATGTCTTATACAACATATATCAAATGAGAGTAGAAGTCCGGACTCCAAATTACCTACTCAATATTAAGTTCCAGATATTACATAAATCTGAAATCAATTCGCACCAAATATTAATGATAAATTATTTATTATAGACATGATAAAGTCAAAAACTACATAAAATATATATGTAAAAAATCAAGTTTGTCCATATTTTCTTGAACCAGAGCTTGCAAGAAAGATTATTTGATCTTACTTTATAGTGTACATATAGAGCCTTTATAATAGAGGTTTCTACTTAGCTATTTTTTATAATAATATCCGTGATAGAATCATAATAATGATGACACTCGTGCAATCGTCTACAATCTCGTTAATATCAATACTGCAATACCTGATATTGAAAATTGAAAAACTGTAGTAAAAAAAAAAAATATGTATTCTTTTCTTTTTTAGCTATTTTTTCGAGCCTATAATGCGTAGTTTGAAAGAAAAAATACATACGCGTGGCGTGATTTGTCGTAAAAATCTGAGCGTACAAAATTATATTAAACAATTTACGACGTATACGCGAGTGTAAAATGAAAATAATATTATTTTATTTTATAGTTCGAAAAAAAAACTTGATTTTGCGTTATTATTATTTTTATTTTTATTTGTTGTCAACTTTTTTCATACATTTATTTTAGCAATTTCACACATCATCGGTTAAGATTTGTCACGCGTTTAGGCACCTATTCCTCCGTGCGCGATCTTTCGGTTATCTACCCAACTGTTTTATAGTTCTAACAAGAATAAAAAAAAAAAAATTCATGAAATTATTCTTTATAATTTATACTGCATGATGAATAATAACTTACAAAAATACTATAAATTTTAAAATATTTAGATAAATACATACATACAGAATGTTTTGTCGCTTAAACGTCTTCAGCAAACCCAAAATAAATTGAACGCAATTTTCGAATGTGGTGGATCGAGTAATTAATAATTAAAATCACAGAATAAAACATCTGTTAAATATTAATTTTTATGGTCGAAATGCATACCTTGTTACGACAACAGCAACGGTAAACTGACGTAAACTCGTATGAAGAAAAAATATTGTTATTAAATTAGATTTTACCGTGTTGAAAATCTGAAATAGCTATATATTTTTTGTCTAGTTAATTAGGAACACTTTATTTCATCTCTTCACTGTAAATATCTTTAATGAATCCGTTTATTAATTTGAGATCCGTTTTTATTTTTATTTTACGGTAAGAAAATATAACTAAAATTTGAGCATGATTAATATAATTTATTAATCATACATGATTTGTATCACAATATTTTAGACTCAACAGATATTAAAAAGAATATTATTGTTGGATCGTCATAAATAGAATCTATTTTAACAACTTTTACCAAAAATAAATAGAACTCTTTCTTTGATTATTAAGATATGATTCGCGGAATGATAATAAATTTTAAAAAATATATCTCCTACTTACGCTTTATTTTTTAACTATTGTTATGTTTTTTTTTATATTGAATCTATAACGTTCAAATGAATAAACCGGTTTAAAAAAAAAGTCACGTTAGGTAGTTCTTAATGATTTAGTTTGCATTTATTTTGTTAAATAATATAAATTGATACACACACACACAAAATACCATTGCGTGCTTATAAAATTAACAACAATATATACTGCTACAACGACAAAAATTATTACGTGTAAGTATCTACCAAAACCGTAATATTGTAGAAAATGCATAATATTAAAATAATGTTCAAATGTAATTTTACAGAATAATAAATTTACATCTGCAAACGAGCACATGTTTCAAACAAATAATAATAATATATTTCTATGTCCCTAGATAATTGGTCTAATTGTTATAAATAGCGTAGATGGTAGATGACGCGATGTTTTGTGGGAGAGGGTGATAGACGATAAAAGGTACTATTCATTAGAATCCCACAAACATTTTTCGCAATACTTTAGTTTTAATTGTAAATCCGAACAATATTTTTATTGTTACGAATCGATATCATTTTCAATAATACAAAATAATGTACAATATCATCACGACGATTATTTATGCTTCAAGTCAATTTTGAAAAATAGCAAAATCACAATTAATTTTATGTTTTTAATAAACATTTTGATAATACATTGCGAAAAATTAGAATTGATTATTAAGTGATGAACTAAATACGTAACAGACTCATCAACGACTTACTAATGTTTTAATTATTGAAATAAATTACTAAGATTGGACCAATCAATACACATGTGTATGACTATTACTACACTATGAGCTCGAAAATGATACTTCCCCGGAATGATAATTTTTATAATTTACGTGGCATATAACATTAATACGTATTATTCTGGTTTTTTTCTGGTCAGTTGTTGACACATTCTTACATACACATGGAGCTTATATAAGCATTTAAAAAATATATAAAAAAAAAAAAAAAAATTGTTGTGATACAAATAAAATTGTTCTCAATAGTATTATGGGTGATCCATGAACTCAGCTGAGCAAACTTAACAGTTAGAATATAACAAAAAAATATCTACTAATTGTTGGATTTATAAGATTTATTGGCTTTATCTTTATAGTGATATTTTAGTCATTAAAATATATCAAGATAATTTGAGAATCTATTTATTAATAATAATAAGAAAAAAAACTTTTTTTTATTGTGTCTTGTCAAGTCCGCATCAATAAAGCAACGTTTAAAACAATTACTAATATATATTAATATACATTGGATATAAAATATTGAAAATGTTGAAAAAATCTGCAACAATGTTTAAAATAGTTATTGTTGGAATAACTATAGGATTTGCTAAGCTAATTTTCTAAATTATATTATATTAATATGATACTATTATTACATTCAACCACGTTTGATCACAATCATGGCAGTGATGATCATAAAATATATTATAAATTCTTGCACTCTTCTAAAATCTTATGTTTGTCTGATTTAACCTGACTTGCCCGAATTTAAATGGTTCTGACTTTTAACAGAGATGTGCACATTTTTAAGTTATTATGCTAAATAATACATTGTAAATATTACAATATTATAGTTCAAGATTACTACTACATTGCTATTTGATATAATGACCAATTAATGATGAGTGATGACTATTAGACTTGGATTTCATACATTAGAATATTTGTATATATTGGTAATCAATTATATCCACAATGTCTTAAACTGAATATGTGTAACAATAATTTCCTTGTATATTTTTTAATTTTAATCAAAATTCGTGTGTATTATAAATAGTAAAATATTTTTTTAGAATTTATTTTAAAGACAAAAATGTAAAATCGCATTTAACTAAGATTATATGTACCTAGTTGTAGTTTTATATTATGTCGGAAATAAACTATTTATTAATTGACATGGAAAATGGATAACATGGATGGTTTATAACAAATGAAATAAAAAATTTTATCTTAACAGTCTAGTGAACTTCTATCGTAGTTCTTCATATTAAATTAATTTATATTAATCGTTATTGATTACCATATAAGTAGCAGTGTCATTTAGTTTAGGTACCTAAACTTATTGGTAGAGAACGATTCTGAAAATTTGATTTTAATAACAATTTATATAATTAGTTACAATATTACACAAATTTTACAAAATATATAATATTATAATATTATATTTGTATACATTTGATTCCGTATAATTTTAAATTTCACTTTACCGTAATATTAATTTAATCTCGTTATTACAAACTATAATATTATGTATACATTTCAAAACTAATTAATTATTGTAAACCAACATATTATACGTAAACTAATCATATTTCTTGAAAATATATAACCCTGTATCAATATATCGGTATATCGTCGACTAAATTTATTTTAAATATTAAAACTTTATTAACTTGGAAAAAATGTAAGTAGGATAAGAATCTTTTAATAGCACAGTAGATTATATTATATTGGCCATTACGTCATTACGCTTATGAAATTTCCTAAAAATATACTATTACAATAACTCGGAATATATCACTCTAATCATAAAAAACCTGATATAGTTTCTAATATCGGGATACTAGGTATAATAAATTCAACAATTTTTAAAGTGTAAACTGTAAACTCAAATCATATTTTATTTTTGAAAATTATATTTTTTTGAATTTTTTGAAATTTTTATAAGACAGTAAAATGATATATTGCATAAAACCTTGTATTTATATTGTATATATATATTGCTTTTATTCCGCTCTTTACTCCCATTGCATGTATATAATACTGTAGAACTGATTAAACTGATGATTAAATTTAAATTAGTATGTACCACAAATAGACCTTAAGACAATTTACGTTATTTTCGACTATTTTGGGGCTTGTGACTCATGCATTAAGAAAGTACGGTTTACGCATCTAGGGTTGATAATATTGAAAAATAATACAAGTATTGCGTAGTATTAGAGTCACCGGAAAAAAATGGTGTTCCGTAATATTAGTTTCTGTTACATACCGGTAAATTCAAGAACGGCGTTCATCCATGTTTATACATTGAGTTGCTTCGGTATTGATCGGCTTGTAGGTAATACTAGGCATTAAGGTATATCGTTCTAGAGATATTTGAGTAATAACCGGTAAAACGAAGAAACCTAAAGCCTACATTATTTCAAAAAATTTCGGAGTCGCGCTGCAGCCTCTACTGTTATTTAGTTTCACGATAAAAAAAAATATTTTCCATTTTCACAGATCTGTTTGTGGCTGTACAGTGGATGGTGCTACGGCGCTCCCGCGGCGGGTCTACTTCTATCTCAACGGCGGCCAGTCGTTGAGCCGCACTCGATGCCGCTAGTAGATACGCTGTACCACGGCCGAAGTCGCGTGTTCGCTTCACGTCAGCAGCAGAAGAAGTCAGCGTCGTCGGCAACGACCGTTTCGGTGCAGGCTCCAGGGGACAGTGGACAGCAGACGGATGGCGACCAGGACGCTGCGGATACAATTGGCTTCAACATCGGCCTGGGCTTCGGGCTGGAAACGCCACTCCTTGATTCACTTCTAGAGCGGTTGTTGAGGCGTAAGCAGCTCCTGTTAGCTGCGGCTTCGGCCGCTTATCCGGGTGCCGCCAGTTGGGGCGTGGCTGGCGGCGGAAGCGGAGGTTATTTTCCGGGACCGACAGTCGTATTCCCATATGCTGGCGGTGGCGGTGGCGGTGGTATGGGCGGTGGTGGCGGCGTTCTTCCGTGGAACAGGCCAGCTGCATATCCGTTTCCGATCGTGCCATCCTTGAACCCGTTCGGTGGTGGTGGTGGAGTGGGCGGCGGTGGATGGGGTGGTTTCGGCAGTGGCGGCATCGGCGGTGGTGGTTGGGGTAGCGGTTGGGGCAGTTTCAACCCGCTTTTTGATTACGACAACGATTTTGGATGGAAGAACAACAACGCACAACAATAAGCCCTCTCGAATATTATGCACTTCATTATTATAATTATAAATAAATACATTTTAATTAAAAAAATATAACTGTTTAATATTAAGAAACGAAAATATTATATAAATAAATCGTTTTAATTATAGATTACACGTGATTTATTTTCAGAATATGATTTATGATTTATATATGTGATTTATGGAGTAACTCACTACATAAGTGAAAGTTTTATTTATTACTTTTTTTTTTTGGAACAATTAATAGATATATAATAGGTGGGTTGTAAGTTAATATTGTAATCGTCTTATAAATTATTTAATTAACTAAGTACCTATATTCTGTACAACGAGAAAATATGTTGTGGGTAGACAAAAATTGATTCTTCTGCGCTTTCTCATGCGACACTCTGCTACCGAGACTGGTTCCACTGTAGTCGAATGTCCCGTGAGAATGCGCAGAATTAACACATTCTCTTTCCAGGCAGAGTTTATAATGATATTAATTATCAAGCGAATGCGAAACTTGTTACTAAATAAAAAACTCAAAACTTATATGAACATAAATCATAATACATGATATATTTTGGATTTTGTTCAAATTACACAACAAAACAATACCGTCGATTTTTACTTCATTTTTTATTTTTAAAAATTATTTAACGTCTAGTTTTATGTTATTCTCCAATATCTTAAAATAACCTAGGTACCTATTTTTATTCATATATATTATAATGTAATAATTATTATATCATACAGTTATGGTTTTTAAATACAAGAAACAAACATATTAATATAATATTTACCATGTAATATACAACGCATTTTCGTCTACACGAAAAGAACAATAATAAAAATAACAATCATTATGTTTTAACGTTGGCTTTGTTATAATTTATAACGATTATCTAATTACGCGTATCATAGTATGAGCGTACTAACGTGTGGATAATTAATCTTTGTCTGAAATAATTAAAATCACATTACATTATAATATATTATTATATACAATACAATATAAATATAACAAGCATGGTCGTGGATATAATAAAATTTTTTGGAAAATTGTGGTATATGAAATACAAGTATATTGGTTGCAAAATACCCCAACTATTAGACTTCATATAGTTCGTAGAATTTTATTTTTATATTATACCTTATAATAACATTTAAGATTAAGTATGAAAACGCACACGATATGATATCCAACTGGTGTTTTATCGTGTTGTACTTTAATTCCATAATTATTATTCACAATTAAACTATCAATAGACATTTTAAACAATTTTACCAAGGCGTTTTGCTGATCTTAAAAAATCTTTTAAAATGTATTTTTATTTTTACTCTTTTGCGATTACATTGATAATATTATTATTGGATTCAACTGTTGGTGATGGAAGTACCCACGATATTGATGATAATTATACTTGATTATCATTTTACAAAGATGAGTAAATTTGTCAGTGCATCAAATAAATAGAATCAAATGACTCATTCCTAACATTGCATCAATTTCCTTATGTGTAAAACGAAAAAGAAAAAAAATCAAAGACAAAACATACAGATATTTGTTCAGAATAGATTTAACGATTGAAGAAACCATAAGATATGATCAGACAAACGTTAATATTTGTATAAAAATAAGAACAACTTATTTGGGATCTTGCAATGCATTTTCAAGCTCTTTAACCAAACGATAATGTTTTATCGATATTAATAGAAATAAAACTAAAAAAAACTTAATTGAATGTCAATAAGTAACTTAAAAAGAATCAAAATATTTCAAAAACTTTATCATGTATAGATTAAATATTTTGAGGAAATTCGAAGTAAACCAAGATTATTTGTTTTTGAAATACAACATTTCAAATATTTTTTGATGAGAAATAGTTATTATAGTAATATACATCGTCGCAAAAATTTGAATTTTAAATGATTTTAAAAACTTATGTGACTCTTGTAAAATATATTTTTTTAAATTAAATGTAGAAAAACTTACGATAAATCTTGTATTAGATTTTCAAATATTTTGACCAAGCAAAACTTCTTTTTATTGACTATTATTAAGAAAAAAACAGAAAAATTAAAATGTTTATAAATGCCTTAGAAAAAGTCAAAATATTTTGAAAGTTATGTTAGAGAAATGTAAGTAAGAAATAATAACATAAGCATTTTATAAAAATGTCATGTATCTGTACTGTAATTATTTTTTTTTTTCGAAAATAAAAATTTATCAATTTAGTTGAATACTGGTTTTGCGTAAGTATTTTTGTTTTTCTTTATTTTATTTTTATTTTTTTTTCTTGGTTTTTTTTAAAATTCCAGGAGTTTAACTTTGTAATCTCTAAAATACTGGTATAAACTAGATTCAATTTTTTTACTAAAAACTATCATCAATGTTGATGATACAAGCATTTTTTTCAACTAGGTATTTATCGTGTAGACAAACAAACATCAACAATCATACTTTTAAAATCAAGATATTCATTGATTCTTTTAGAATCTAAAATATGAGCTTAAATGATGTATCTAATTTCGTGTAAAATTGACGAATTGTGCGCAACCTAACTAATAATTGATTTTCAACTGCTTGTGGTACGTGTGCATAAAATGTATACACAAACAAAAGAATAGTATCTTCTACTCGACATTTATACATCTATATATAGTTGTACTGGCAGATCCATCGATCATTTGTCGACCATGTTTATGATATTTTATAATATATATGGGTTTCATTTTGTTTATCTTTCTCACCCCCTCCTAAATCTTCTCATAAAACAGCGACTATTCACCGGGAAAGAATCACGTAGTGAGCTTTATACTTCCATCCGAAGTTATATATTACATGTCATGTAATGCAAATGCACGCGCAAAAAACCAAAGCGCAGTGCATTAAAATATTAGCAAAATGTTTTCGTAATTAATACACATAATTATATTACGCACACGTTACGCGTTATGTCAACACACATATGTCAATTAAAAAATAATAATAATAGAATGCATTGCAAAATAACGACAACAGTAATTTTGTAAAAACAAAAAATAAAAATGTCAAACAAATATATTTTAAATATTTTAATTTAAAAATTGTATATTATTGTCACGACAATGAGAAGAAAAAAACTTTTTACCTTTTTTTTATGTAGCGATTGGTATGTAGCTGACACATAAATACGGCAACCGAAGTTTTCGAATCGCAATACCCGTACCATGCGCGCGCGTGCAGTTCGTTTCAGCTATAGTTGACCCCACAATCACATAATATTATAAAATAATATAGATACATAAATATCATATCTATTAAATATTGTGATAAAACGTCGTTCAATAATTCAATTTTTCAATACATAAATCGTTTTTGAGCCAACCGTCACCACCATCATCATGAAGAGATCAATCGCCTGCCGTGTTCTGATGATACTGTGTGTATTTGTGACGGTTCAAGTAAGACGTGCACCTATGTAATGTACGACAGGGATTACCAATTGACATTTTTGAAGAACCACTAAAAAAATTCAGAAAGTTTTCAGGGTTTTAAAAATTTAACATTTATATTTATCCGAATAAATTAAAAGCAAGATGAAATTATATTATTAAAATTAATGAAAACCTAGTTTAATTAACCGTTAAAAAAAAAAAATGTTAAAATATATATTGTCACTAATATCCAACAGCTACCCGTAAAATTTATTACCTAGTGTATAACATTAATGGGTATTATCTATAATAAACGATATTGATAGCGATTTATAGTATATAAATAAGCTGTTCCAAGATATATATACATTTAAGCTTTAAAATACAAATTGCAAGTTCGATAGAAATTTAAAAAAAATAATCATAGTAATAATAGTAATATTAAAATCTTGAAAATTGGTGATGATAATGAATTTATTATAAATTTAAAAATTATCCAGTATCTTTCCGCGATAAACTTATTTACAACAAACTATAGTTTAACTACTATAACATATTAAATAAATTGGCAATTTACCAAAATTATTTTTAATGAACTTTTCAACATCTTTTAATTTTTCTTTTTCTTCTTTATATAATGTACAATGATAACCCTGTATTTATACGTATAATTATAGTATTAAACTATTAAAGCAGTCGTTAAGAACAATTTGTTCGTATACTATTTCATCATATGAAACTATCCATCATAAATATTTAATCACTACTGATGTCTGATATACTGCTACAATAACCTATAATAGTATATAGGTATGATGAAAGGTGAAACATTTTTGATTGAAAACTATTTTAACAACTGCAGGTATAGCCGTATAGGTAACGCATTTAATTACAACTTAACGTCTGATGCACTTTTTTTAAAATTAAATTAATACATTTTTCCTAGAGAATATTATATTAATGCAAATTATGAAAATATTATTATGATGGAATTGTGTACAGAACATTACTTACTCAGACCACGTAATTCGTGTTTTCGCAACAAAAATTCATGAATGTAGGTGAAAACATATTAAGTTCGATTCAATAATAATATCTTTTCATTGGACTAATAACTATCGATCAATTTTATATGCTCGTTCTTAAAAAAAATAGTTCACATCATATTTATGAACGTTTCAAGTCAAGTGTCTATAAAATACAGAAGCAAATATTATTGCATAGTAAGTCATATAGTAATTTGTATTACGTTTATTGTAAATAATAATAATATCATAATTATTAACGTTAATAATTTCTAAACAATTTATAAATAATGGTTATTTAAAATATTTTAGTTTACAATATTGAGTTATTGAATCATGTAAATAATAAACTACGTGGCTTGGCGTGACGCGTTGGCTGTTACCAGTCGCGTGATGCGACTAGGAGTAAGTAACGACCACAGCTACTAGCTCCCGGATGAGTGACCACCCGGGTTCATAGTGGTGGTTAAAAACCATGCTACCCATATACGTGTTTTTTATCAATCATAACAATCGTAAAAAACAACCTATCGTACTAATCTTACCCCTACCATAGTTCATAACGGTGTTTCCTAGTTGCGGACAAAGTCACAAAAACCATGCGAGTTGCGGACGAAATCTAAAAAGGTAACATACGAATTGCGGACACAAATATAACATACTAATTGCGTACAATCAATTATTCGTGGTCCATGGCGTAAAAAATAGTATTTACGTACCATTATTTTTTTGTTTGTTGGTGGGCAAATCAGTTACTGATTATTGTACAGCACTAGAATTTTTAAAAAAACGTTCACCAATCCTACCAACTACTTTTCATATTGATTTTGAACAATCTATTCACTCAGCTGTTCGTCTAGCATGGCCAATGAGCAAAATAAAAGTATGTCGGTTCCATCTCGAACAAGCTTGGTACCGAAAAATACAGTTATTAGGTCTAGCTAAAGTATATAATACTGAGGGCGAAAATGGGAACTTTTTAAAATCATTTTTTGGTCTACCGTTTTTGTCACCTAACGAAGTGGATGACTGCTTTACAGATGACTTTATGTCTACGCTGCCGGCTGGCTGTACTGCTATACACGATTTTACAGATTATGTTTTTTTGAACTATATAAATACAGATTCTGCAATATTTCCTCCAGAAATATGGGCAGAATTTTCTTCATCTATTTCACGAACCACAAATGCTTGTGAAAGTTTCCATGCTAAACTTAATGGTATGTTTTATCGCAGTCACCCTAATATATATCAATTGATCGAGGCCATAAATGAAGTACAGACTGGTAGCTATACTAAAATGAACTATACTGCTGTAAGAAATTTAAAACGAGCCAAAAGAACTGTCGAAAAAGAGGATATTATTAGTAAACAAATGTTGCAATATTCAAATGGTGAAATCAGTAGATTATCATTTATACATGCTGTTTCAAAAAAATTTTTGCCACAAAAACTATAAAAATGAAAAAGTGGTGAAGGGAAATATTTGTGTCCGCAACTTACGTGATTTTTATTTAAAAAAAACTTTGTACGCAACTAGTACTATGACAACGAAAAACGTGTCCGCAATTGTTATGTTACAATATTGACCTGAATAATTTCGTCCGCAACTAGTATGCGTCCGTTCATAATCCCTACAACAGCTAATGACCCTAGTCACCGAGCTTAAGTTCAATATAAAAAAAAATAAACAAATAAATAAAAAAAAAAGATAAACTAATTTTTAGTTATTATTACAGCTATAAAATCTTCAGGTTTTATTTTCTTATTTTAATTCGAAGTAAGTAAACTTGCTACAATTAGATACAAGTATACATCAGTATCCAGTTCTAAATTATTACAAATTAGTGCCCAGGTTTAGCAATGATGTAACATTCAATCGTTGTATAACTTGTATAATAATACCCGATATCAATGTATGAGAGTTTATTAGCTGGATATTATAAATAAGTTGAAAGCATTATCATAAGCTTGAAAATCTGAGTTTTTAAATAAAATTTTCAACAATTTTTCTTTGAAAATGAACGTACAATGTTATCTGACGTGTATAGAACCTATCTCAACTATGTATAAAAATGGTTCTCAGACTTTTTTTTTAAACATAGAACACTGTGCTCTATACAAACTTTTTCAGACACACTACCAACTTTTTACGATATATATTTATTTTTTTTTTTTGTTATTGGTTCATTTTTTGAACAAAACCTCATAAAACATCAAGAAAATATTTGTGGCTCACTATAATGTACTACGACACCTAGTTTGAAAAGTATTGATATATATTATAATAGAAACGAAAAACTGTTATTTCAGAAACCTTTAAGCAAAATGATATATTGACTTGTTTTAAAACAAATTTTCCAACCAACTAAAAATTTGTTTTTCTATAGATAATAAATTATGTAATTTTTTAATTAATAATATACAAATAGATTAAACTTAAAAATCTGTTCAAATTATAAATACGAGTAGATAATATGATTTAAATTATTATAAAGTGGGTAGTTAAAGGAGCTGAGATGATGATTATGTTTAAACTTACTATTTGATTGTTACATAAAACATAAATAATCACTAAACACCTAGTAAATCAATTATATAAAGCTAAAGGTCCTTTTAACATGATTTAGTGACCCATAGTTATAAATGCGTTCAATTTTAGTGAACCATTAAATTTATCATTTTTTTCTATGCAACTCAACATAGTTTATGTATTATAATATAATCATAGCACTCATATACTGTCAAGAGTTTATAATATGATCATCACTACAAAACTTCAAAAAACTTCTTTGACTCTTAACTACGGCGATGGTGATTATTATTAAAATATTGTATTAAGTATTTTTCTTTACGATTGTTCTGTTAATAAAATATTGTCCCATTCGATATTTTTAAAATACTTAAAAAAAAAAAAAAAAAACGAACGAACAAAACCTAATATACTAAAAATAATAAACCTAATATACCTAATATACTTTCTCAATCAAAAACCCAATGACATCTACCGTTAAATATTTTATAGATTTTATTCATAGTTTTAAACTTTGCATGCTTATTTGTCACTCTCATATTTCTTTTTAATTATGCAATTATTCCAATCAAATTTTAGTATTTGATATTTTTAAGTATATTTAAATTCTGAAAATTAAAAATATTCTACAACGATTTTAATTTGTTTATACAAACATAACTAACCATGTTAACTGTAAATTACCAATTAAATATTTTTTCTAAATAAAATATCAAACGATTAGTTATTGAGTTATAAAAATATATAGTAAAGATTCTAAAATGATTCTTGAAATTATTTCATAATAATAAAAATGAGTGTAGGTATTTACTTACTATTCTCAGAAAATTTTTATAAATTTTAAAAACTTATTAGTATAATATTTAATTAAATACCTAGCATATATTATCAAACATATTACCATGGACCTATTACACTAAATATCTAAGAACATAAAATTCAATAAATCAATAACTTTTTATTTGAATTTAAACTTTGATAAATCGATTTTTCCAAAAATTAATTTTGTTTAACAATTTAAAACATTGATTATCAATAAAAGAAAAATTTTTGTTTCACACATTTACTTACAAATTTTAACTATCAGAATTTTGACAAATGAATCATTAAAAAAAAAAATGGGGGGTTAGAATACTTAGTGCATTATCTTGTGTATACTAAATATAATAATAATAATATAAAGTTGAACATATCAAAGGCCATACGAATTACAATTAGACACAAATGTGTATACTCGTACACAGAGTGCTCAAGGTGTATAATATTATGACTATAATAATTATATACAATTTAATTAATGCAATAAATTCAACCGAAATTGTGCGTATTGCAGAGTCGTGATATTCGATTACTATAAACTAAAAAACGTTGAATAAATTAATATCACATTATATCATTAATATAATTGTAGTTATCTTCACAAAAACGACAAAATGGTGAAAGGACTAAATGTAATGAAAATGTAATTCAAAATTGAAAAGTAAAGTTAAAAAAAAAAATTCCAGATCTTGTCTGCAACAACTGTAAGTGAGTATGACTGCAGGAAATTATGAATAGAGCTCAGTACATGTTAAACGACATCGCGAGTTGCATATTATCATCTCTTTTTATTATTATCTAGACGATTTACCATTTTTGATTATCGTATTTAAAACAAATCCATTTTGTCGCCATCGACAATCAAATATGCAGAGATATATTGTAAATAGTTTTTATATTACTTTTGTAAAAATTTTGATTAATCGTATTGGTAAAAATAAAAATTTAAAACATTCAAAACAACAAGAAGCCCGTATGATATATTACCAAACTTACGATAATAATGGGTAATCGAAAAAAAAATCACTTTGCAGTTTACATTTTCTGTTGGCTCAAAATGTTTTCTATGTACTTAAAATTAAGTAGATTAACATATTATTTATCTATATTTATGTAACTATCTATATCTATTTCAGATTGATACTAAATATGACGGGAATAATTTTAATTATTTAAGTACTCATATTATCAATTAATCAGTTGTTTTTTTTATTAGCCACGTAAAACGATATGTTATTGGTACATAGAAATAAAATGCTAATTATTATATTCCTAAAACATAAAATAAACATCGATATTAAGAGTGCGTCTGAATAAAAAATATGTATCGACCTATAAACGATATTTTGCAGGTAATATGTGGAGCAGCCGTCGATGAATCTTCAGAAGTGTATAAAGCGGTCAGCGAAAATAAGGTAGGATTGGTAACACACATGATTACCACTAAAGGATTTGAAAAGGCATCAAGACAGTTGGAAATGTCGCCGCTCAGAGAAGTTGATATAAATCCAACGGTAGGTGATGAGGATGATACCGTGGCCAAGAAACAACCACGCCATATACGTCACAAAAGTTTAGGTTCGCGTGTATCTACTATCGAGAAACCAGATGAGGAAATACAAAACTATACCAAAACAGAAATTGACGGTGAACCGGAAGAGGAGATGTCACAATCAATAAATAATCAACCGGAAATCGGCAACGATGAGACGATGACGACGAGACGTGACGATGAAAGCCAATTGGCAAACGACAACGATGAAAGTAAAAAGTTTGGAGACTATACCTACCGCTTAAATTCGGTTTCCGAACATCCAAGGGTAAAACGCGCCAAGTCTAAAAATAAAGAGTTGGAATACTCTCGATCGGCTGCCTCGAACCAGTAGTAAATGCCTACCACAAAAGAACGGATATAACTGTACGAATATTTCTATGACATCTTATATGTAACTATTAACACAAAATAAACTAGTAAAAAAAAAACCCCAACTACTTCAATACCTAATATAATATTTATTTTATTTTAGAACTCGACTTGCATAATCAATATAACTAGTGTTGGGCATTATTTAGTTAAATATTAAGTAATTGTTATATTGTATATTATACATTAAACAAATAATAATCTGTATAATGTAGATAAATAAGTTTATTTTGTCTGTGAAAAATATTATATAAAATTAATATATTATTACAGAACAAAATAATAATGAAACAATAATTTATTTGTTTTATGTTTTAATAAATACTACAAGATTTATATAAGTTACTAAAGACCACAGGTTACAATATCTCGTTTATTACCATCGTAAATATATATTTTAATATATTATCATTTACCTAGCTAAATTTTAAGTTTTTATCTAGGTACCTAAACATTCATTATATAAATATAAATCTGTTTAATAATTATTGCTTACCTTATAGAACAGCATATAGTCGTAGAACGATTGCCACCATTTTTCAATCACATTATTTTAAACTGTAGATCTCATCTATATTATAAAATACTCTTGTTTAGTTCATGTCCATACAACATTCATAAATAAGATATAATATTTACAGATAAATAAAATACTACTACTATTTTGCTAAACAATATGTAAACAGAACAGGTAGATACACTAAAAATATTTTATCTTTAAGTAGTTTATACTATACGTAAAAAGGTAAATTCAACTTAAAATGTATTTAATTATTATTTGAAACTGGTTTATTATGTAACATAATAAATACAAAATATTTATAACAGGCAAGTTTCATACTATCGAACACTTAGTTACATGGTAGTTCAAATTGGATTTACAATGTATGATGTAATAAAATTGATTCCTATAGTTAGAAAATTTATCAAAATAATGCTATATTTTTCAAAAACAATCTTTTTTTAGGTTCAAATGATTAATACCAATTGAAAATAAAATATTAATATTAGGGTTTATCAAAAGTTTTTGGTTCAAACATGTAATACTTGTCTACTCCAAATCAATGCCGTTGTAATTTTTATTTTTAATCTATTGTATTTTTATTTGGTATAAATAATACATAACTCTACAAAAACCTTAAATGAAATTCAAAAATCAATGTATTTTTATATTCCATAAATTAGTGAAGCCCATTACCAAATATATAATCATTCAACATTAAATAATAACCTAATAATACTTAAATGTTTATACCATTTAAAGATTGTAGACAATACAAACTTTGTTTATTTTTTTCCAAATAAAAACCAAAATTTTCTCGTTAAGGTTAGGTAAAAATAATTAATTTTTTTTAAAATGTTGATGTATCTAAAATAAAGTTTTAACTTGTAGTTTCTGAGTTATATTTGCTAAGGATAATAGTCCTTAAAAATATTTTACAAAGTATAAATTATTAACTATTAACTAGTAATTAGTTTATTTATTAGTTATCCATGCCAAGTACAGCAATCAATATTGTACACCTAAAATATAATATACGTTAAGTAAACAAAACTTCATCATAGTCTTCTACACTGTAGAATATCTGTCGCATATGGTTTGTACAATACATTGATAATAAATAATATTATAAGTATATATAGTATACTCAAAAAATGACGTACCTATTATTGCTGTTTTGATCGATTTCTTTCATCCTACTTGCACGTTATACACACCGTCAGGCTATTTTAATATCAATAATGTGATATATATACAACACGTATGGGTTGTATAGTATTATATCATGGTCTTTTCGAATTACGATTTTTTGTCGCAGTCTTTCGCTAAAGTCGTTTTTTGTATAAAAAAAACACACAAATCACTCGATTTATTATGCAGCGTCCTTATCGATACAATTTATGGAATCTTAACGTAAAATTTATGCTGTAATACCTCGTGTTCGATCAGTAGAGATTAATGCACGTGCTATCTTGAAACAAAATTATGAATTCAATATAATAGTAGATATAAACTTATTATAATATTCAAGTCTATGATTTATTCGTAATCTAAATTATAAAAAAATTAAATTTGATTTTAAATGCAATTTTTAAAACGTAAAACATATGTAAACTGTTGGTTTTTTATATTTATTTATTAATTATAACGTAACGTTAAAAAATCAAAAGTAATCAGTATAATAATATCGTAACGTAAATTGTATACGAGCTATGTCTTAAAACAATATAATTACATATGAATGTTAAGCATGTTAAGGAAATTTTAAATACAAAGAAAAAAAAAATGTTAAAAATTAGATTGTTCTAAGTTCATTAATTTGATTAAAAAATTATAAAAAAATAGGGTCTGTGTACATTGATGTAGTTATCGTAAACGTAAAGTATGATTTAATGTTAATACACCATGTGTTATGAATTTTATTGCAATTTAATTGGTATTTGTTTCTAAAAATTAAATAACTTGTTTGGGTCTTATGAACTCTTATAGTTTATAACATAAATAAGTTTATTAATACAATAATTAATAAACTTATACGGTTATACTCTATATTTAAATATAAAAATAAATGTATACTCTTTGTTATTTAAACATTATATATATATATATATATATATAAATATATTATATTATGATTATACAATCAATAGAGTGGACATAAAAGCGTAAATATACAAAAAAATCAAACAGAAATTTGATAAAAAAACAAATATAATAATAAAATAATATTAAAAATATAAAAATTAGTTTATTCAAATAAATACGAAGATCATTTATAATTAAGATATAACTTTCATATTATTATTAAACGATTTGGTCAATATAGTTTATGTTGGTAAATTTTTATATTTTTCACAGGATGTTTATGGATTATGTAATAAAATAATATTATTGTTTATTAGACTTTGATCTGCATCAAATATTTACAAACAAAATAGAAAAGTACTAGAAAAAACAACACATATAATAACTTCATCCGTTATATTACACATAAAATGTATGTATATAGGTATGTAACTGTATTATATATTGTATCAAGAGACTCCAAATCAAATCGAGTAAAATAATTTGTTTTACAAAATGTTATATTTACGATTGTACTATTAAACTATGTAATTTATGTATTAATGTTTTTCAATCTCCTTATATACTCCTATATTATATTATACGATATACCCACAGTCTGTTAAAATAAATAAATAGCACGCAGATAGTTTTGCAAGTAGAAATTTGAAGAAATGAATCTGTTTTTATATATAATTTAATATTATATTATATACTCAGAGTTATTAGAAAAATGTATAAAGACTTGAAATAAAAATTACATGAATTGTAATTTATTTCGATCATTGTTTGATCAATACTTTACCTATGGTTATAGACACCGACAAGTATTTCACGTAAATAATTCCGATCAGGGAATATTTAAATTTAGAAAATTTAAATTATAATTTTCCTATAGATTTTCTTGCTATATGCAATATTTAAATTTAATACAATTATATAAAATTAAATTTAAAAAAATACATTTAATTATTAATAATAGTTGTATTATTTAATAATATTAAATCAGTATATAATTATTACCACTTCACATTTTGTATTTCCTATTGAATTTTTATATTATGAAATTTGTTTAAGATATTTAATTTTAAAAACTATACGTTTTAGTCCAAAACTGAATTAATGAACCGAAAAATTATTTCACGTTTATATAGTAAATAGTCTAAATCATAAACGAGAAAATTAATGTGCAATTAGAAAAATGTATTATTTGCGTAATAAATAAATAATGAACCAACATAAGACGTAAACTAAATGTTTTCTTGAATTTTTCTATTGGAAAAAAATAGAGCATATTATGCATTTATAAAAGGCTGTAGATACTTAATTTTAATATTATATAGCATCATAATTGAACATTTTAAATAAAATAATAAATTTACTTTGTCGTTCAAGTGAAATAGATCATTTTCAAATAAACAAAATTTAAATTAATTTATGAAACATTTTTTTTAGACATAGGTAGGTATTACGTTCGTCCTTTCGTAACGATAATACATTAATTATATAAACGATGCATATCAATAAATGTGCGAATTATCAGAAACGAGGTAAATTATCATCATTAACAAACCACGGTAACCAAAAAAGTTTCATCTTGTAATTTTTATAATTTTCCAAACGGTAAAAAATATACGCAGTTTGGTTGTACATTTGTGTGTTTGGCGTTCACAGAACTTAGTCGTTGTTATTTCTTCCACTCTTTACTACCAATAGCATAATGTTGTTATTATTTTTTATTATGTTTACCGTATAGCTTTTGCTCGTTATTTTCGGTTGATAAATCTGACCAAACGTGTAGTTTTCATCGTTATTATCGTGACATTTCTTCTCATTACAGTATAATTTTGGATTTCCCAGAATATTTTGAGAATGTTCAATGTCACCATTACACATGATATACAATATTATACCAATATAATACTCGTATAATTTATGTATATATGGCACGTGCATAGTGTGTGTACTATGTATATACTATATAGTATATAAAGTCATTATATCGATTTCATTTACTGTCAAATAAAATATTGCAAGTAGCAAGTAACAAGTAGGTAAACAATTATTAAAAAAACACGAGTACGCAATGTTTAAAAAATGTAACAGTTGAAAAAAATAATATCATAATAAAATATATACGATGTTTATTACTTGTAGTTGGTATCCATGAAACTTAAATGACCTAACTCTGCGCTATTTTTGTACTTAACTAATAATTTACTATTTAATCAATTTTTATTCATAGTAATACAATATTGTGTCTATAAATAGGAAATAAAAAATTTTAATTTTTTTTGAAAATAGTAAAACCCAAAAAACGATATCCATAAATAATTAAAAAATAAACTTTTTTTAATAAAGTTGAGAACATCCTTTTTTCATTTCATCTTAAATCAGTAGTATTTTAATTTGAATTTTAAAGATACAGCTACGCTTAAAGATGACAGTTTAGGTATTATTGGCTACTATGTGACAGGTACTACATATGCCTCTACCTATGAATTAAAAACTATTTTCTTTTCATAGTATTATCGTGGTCGTATCGAAGTCATTCATTGAAAGTAGACGGATAACCTAACGGGTGTAATCTTGGAAA